CAGGAGGGGAGAAGAGGAGAGGGGCTGACTGCTGGAGGAGCCCACGTGTCTCTCTTTTCTCCGAGCTGCAGCCAGAGCTGCTGTTAATGGAGGACCGGGGGTAAGCTTTTGTTGCTGAGGCGGGGGGCTGTGCTCTCCCTCTCTGTCTGGGTGTAGTTCTGCTCTTTGTCTGTGGGGTTTGACTCTCTTGACATGTTGATGCTATGGGTTTGCTGTGCTGAGAGTTGTGCTGCTTTTTTTTTTTTTTTTTTAGGTTTTTCTGCACTTGCTTTTGAGGGATGGGGAACCCCGATGTTCTTTTAGTCTCGTTGCTTGATCGTGATAATGTCGACCTTTGACTTAAGTTGTGCTTTTGAGAGAAAGGAAAGGGGGAGAAATGAGCCAAAGAGACATGATGGTACTGACGAAACCTTGCATGGCACTGCCAATGTTTTTGTTGATGTCTGTATGTAGTGCATGTGTTTGTCTATAAGGAGATAGTATACTCTAAAGAAGAAATACAGTCAGTTTACTGTCACTATTTCTGGTTCAGTTGTATATACTTGTAAAAAAGTAGAAACTAGTAAGTGTCTGTTTTCCTCCTCTGCCATCAGCCGTTCTGCAAGCCAAGCAAAGGGTCTGTCCTGAACAAAGCCCCCTCTCTGCGTGTAGCTAATGGATTAACCAAGCGTGATAAACACCCACTCATGCCATACTCCACGCTGCATCCGGCCCAGGCGTTTGTTTTGCCCTTCTGGCTGGAAATTCCTTTTCAATCACAGGACGTTTCATTTTAATATCTTTTCACCTTTCCTCTCTTTCTCATCATTGCCAGCCGTGTTGCTTCATCCATTGCTCCACAGTTGACCCAAATACCCATGCAGCTCCCACCCCTCCCCCTGACCTCCTGTCAAACCCACCACTGCTGCTTCTCTATTGTTTTATGTGAGCCTTGACTGCTTCACATCTTTCATCAACAGCTTGGAATGTGTGAGACTTGTTTGTTATAAGGAAATCATCTTGGTGCGATTTCGAATCAGCCGGTGTGCTCAGTATTAAACATTCACTGCAGCCATAGTGCGGAGCTAGAACAGTTTTCACTTAATGTCACAGATGTTTAGTTTTACAGGCAGGGGTCTTGACGAAAAAAACATAGACGTAATGGCTCATGTCTGCTGCTAACATAAGCAGCAGTTAGCTTAGCATTAGACTGGAATCAGGGAAAATGGCTAGCATGAGTACATTTTCCCACCTAGATTAAGCACCTCTTAATCTAACTAATTAACATTTTTTATCTTGACTTTGATGTCAATACAAACAAATGTATACATATGATATATTCTGCTTTAACTGAGGGTCTGAATGAAAAAAGAATAAAGCAGAGTCTCCAGACAAGCAAGAAAATATGCTTAAGCACATTAAAACTTAGGTCTCTATGTTTAACACTTGAGTTTATGTTACATAAAAATGAATGATATCTTTTGACACATTGAAAGATTGCAGCGCTAGTTGTTACTCCAGCCTTTGTGCTAAGCTAGGCTAACCAGCTTCTTGATTTAGCTTCATTTAACCCTCAACAAGAACACAGTAATACCCATTTACTCCTAAATGTCAAACTATTTACTAAACATAGAAAGTAGAAACATGTTTATCTTGCGCTTCATAGTTAATGCTTTCACTGATCCTCAGTATAGCTGAGGTTCAGTGGAGCTGCAGCTGACATTTCTCTGCACTGATAACAAGTGCTGCTGTTTTGTCGTCACGTCATGTTTGTCATCCAGTTATTTTAAATCCCCGCTTTGCATCCGATCTTGATCTGTATGTCTGTACTCTTATGTTCTGTTTTTGTTTGTGATTGTTGCTCCTGCCTCACCTCAACTATCTTGCTCAGGCATCATTTAGTTTGATCATTTCCATGATGAAGGCTTGTGGAAATAAAAATAAAACAAAATATCATACTACTGTCATACTAAAAGTACTATCTTGCATTTGAAAGTTGAGATTTAAAAAGCTAAACAAGTTTATGTTCAGGCGTGACGCTCTTTGTGGAAGCTTGCTAGCTCTATGATGAAGAACCATATCATATGAGAATAAGAGTTTAAAACCTAACTAAATTTCTCACTAGGAGTTCAGGTGTACTAATGCAATATTAAAAAATCTGACAATCAGTGAGATCATTTAAATTGTGTAACTTATTTGTCTTTATTGGTCTTCTCATTCTGAGCTGCAAACACTTTTTTCTGACCACATATTGCCAGAAGAAAAATGAACATTTCTACTCTAGCCTTCACTTTCAAAACGTGTTACTGCCCAAAGCTAGTTGCTAACTGTGTGTGTCCGTTGTTTGGTGCTGTTTTTCTCAAAGCTAATCACTGAGAACAACTTTGTGCTGCAGCCCACAATGATGCTATGGGAGCCAATGAGGGTTAGCGTTATAAAGCTGTTGATTGGACAGAAATACAAGAATCTGACCCTCACTGTAACATAGAATGTTTTGTTAGCCCCTCTAAAAACAGACCGCTTTAAAATACCTGTCGTCTATCAATACAAACGGCTCATTTTTAAACTTGAAGTGTAATGACTTTTATTTAGTTCATTTAGAATTGACCTAATACATTTAATACAGACACGAAGCTGTCATTGGCTGCAGTTGATTACTTAGAGCCAATTATAATGTCAGAGTGAGGTTTGAACACGAGGCAGACTCACAGTGTAGTCACTCGAGAAATTGCAGTTTGTGCTGTGAGCTGAACCTGAACCAGTGGAGGTGAGCGAGGAACTGATGAGGCTGCAGCAGCTCCAGGATAATGTTTGTGTTTTCAATTCCTCGGTATCAGCACTAGAGTCTGCGGTCAGTCGGACAGATAACTGCATAATAATGTTATGCCATTTGGTGGTTTTTCTTAGAGAAATGCTCCCCCTTTAAATTATATTTTTTATTATATATTGTATTCTTTATTGGATGGATAAAGTAGTTAAAAACAAATAAATGGATTGGTTTTGAGACATTTGTGCACAGAGAAGACGTAAAGAAGGGCAAGATAACAGGATGAATAAGGACACTGGTAAAAAAATGTTTTGATGATTTGCGTTGTATAGTGACAGTAATTGTTGTGTTTTGTTTCTTTACAGTTGTTTCTGTCTCTCTGTTTTGTTTCATTTTTATCTTCAGTCCTGTACATTTTGTTATTTTTTTTGGAACTTTCTTGTCGTTTTTGTTTCCTTTGAGAAAGTTTGGTGTCTTTTTTTGTGATATTTTCTGTCTGTGTGTAGTCTTTTGTCTTGTCTCTTTGTAGTTTGTGAGGCATTTTTGTAGACTCTATATATAGTTGCTTGATAGTCTCTTTTCTGTCCAGGCAATAAAGAGATATAGGGTAGGACAATCTGCTTTATATCAATACAGTTTATGTTGTAAGATAACATTAAACGTTTTCTTCCATGCCATTGGACTCAAAAATATCGAGATATGATGTTAGGTCCATATCGCCCAGCCCTATTCTCTTTGTAGTTGTTTTGCATATTTCTGCCGGCACATTTTGCTTCTTTATGATTCCTTTAAGTATCTTTGTTTTATCACATTTTTTTTAATCAAATTAGTCTTTCTAGTTGTTCTAGCCTCTCTTCATGTTATTTTTATGGTTCGTTTTGTCTCTAGTTTTGCAACCATTAGGGTTGTTTTGTGAGTCTGCAGTTGTTTGTTAGTTGACTATGATGAGGGAAGATTACTCCGCTATTACTCTACAGTGTTCTGACAGACGCAGGGTGAGTCGATCAATGCCACTGAAAATTACCTCCCAGTCTTTGAATCTGTTGACAAAGGCATCTCAGGGGAGAAGAGAGAGAAAATGCAGGAAGTTCTCAGGTTCTGAGTGTTATTGTCGTTTTCTAAGGACCTGAGCCTTCCTGAAGGTATTGTGTAAAGTAAAATGAACCTTTGAATTCCCCTGATAGTTATCACTCATCGTGTCACCTTTAGTTTGGACACATGACTGTGCACGTGTGTGGCAGCTTTTTAATCTACAGAACATCTGTGCAAAGGTGTGAATGTAGATGTCATTCTTATAAACGTGATTACATGAGAACTGAAGAAACGGCTTGGTTGAGCAAACAGTAATTGAATTTATCACCATTTATATTCTTCCTATTTATTGAATACTATTGTGTTTCCACTTTTGGCCATAACACATAAAGAAATGTGAGGATGTTACTTTGGACTCATGGATCTCATAAAGAAAATTGTTTCATTTTCATTTTTATGTTGTCAATGGGGCAGCTGTGGAGCGGCTGTGGCTCAGTGGTAGAGTTTATCCCCAGCTCCTCCAGCAACATGTCCAAGTGTCTCTTGACAAGACACTTCGATGAACCCCAAAATTACTCCCGCTGCAGCATCAGCAGGGTGTGAATCTGAATGTGTATGAATGGTAGAATTTACTTATGAACAAATTAGCAGCCTCTGCCATCAGTGTGTGAATATCTTGTGAATGGGTAGATGTGACCTGTGGTGTCAAAAGTGCTTTGAGTAGTCAGAAGACTAGAAAAGTGTGATTGTTGCACAAATGTAATTCTCTGTAATACGGGTGATTATAAATATATCATGTATCTGTCAGCTTTAGTGCCACATCACATCATACCTTTCTTTAAATAGCATCTTAATCTGGTAAACTTCTGACTGGTTTATAATCCCTCACATTAAACTTCCTAAAACTGCACTTTCTTTTTCTACATAAGAATTTAATTCCACTTTGAAGCCCATAACACAGCGTTAGTCGGTAATAAAACAGCAGGAAAAACATTTCTAGATTAAGGCAAAAATAACTTGAGTTTTTTTATCCAACACTGAGGGGCTAGAAGAAACGCACAAGCTTCCTCAAAGCCATGCAGTTCAGTTCAAATATGCAAGGCGATTATTTTAAGTGGATATATGCAGGGACACTGTAGATATGAGGAAAAAGGGGTTCGCATAGCATTAACATATCTTCAATTTTGTGTTTACTCTCTTCTTTGCTTATCTTCTCTCACAGTGCATGAGGAGCGTTTCTCTGCTGCACACCGACGAAGCCTGAAGCCATCCTGCCAAATCCCGGGACCATGTCTGGAGCTTACGACGAGTCCGCCAGCCAGGAGGAGACCACAGACAGCTTCTGGGAGGTGAGACAGTAAGAAGCAAGCTAAGACAGATTAAACCTAAGAGAGAAGTGACACCGCCTAGTGATGAACTCTCACTGAACCGGCTACGCCTGGCAGACGAGGAGAACAACCCAGGGCCTCATTTATCGGCTGTACACAGAAACGCTCAGATAATGATTTGTCAATAATGTTTGATCCCTGAGCCAGCAGAGATGTATTGGTGATCACATTTTATCATTCAGCACCCTGACAGTTACATTTTTTGTCATTAAAACCAATAATAAGTACATTAATTAAGAACAATTAATTTACTCCTTTATTACAGCCTGTAATTTCATTACTCTCTCAGTGTAACCATTACGGACTTCTCACTAATATAGACTAACACTTTGTCATCTGTGGAGGACACTGAGGTGACACTCTGCCTCGTCCTGTGGCAATGATGTTTCTTTTTTTGTGAGCTAAAATGTTTTTTGGGTTTTTTTTTTCTAAACACTACCAGCTACTTGGCTTTGCACTCGGGAGCGATTGCGTGAGGCTGAGAAGAAAAGCTCTGCATGTTCCTCCTGTCTCTATGACAACAGTGTGTAGACAACAGCTGCTGTATTACTGACACTGCTCCGTTACTTTTTACTGCAAGTTGTTTTTTTAATTTAGATCGGTTAATTACCGATCAGAAACGGAACAAAGATGATGTGGGTACAAGACACGATCCCGTGGGCAGATAAACTACACGGAATATCATACATTTGGAAAGTTCTGAAAAGTTGAAAGATTTTCAACTTGAGCGCTCGGAGCGGACGCAAAAGAAAAGGCCGAACGCTCAGAATAAAAGATGCTGGGCGCTGTGCTTTTTCTCCGGAGGGTCGCCTGCTACAATTGAAAAAAGACGCTAGGTGGACATGGGGCCTTCTGCTGTCTGTATCAAGCCGTCCATGCTTCACAGATGAACTGACTGAAATAAGTTCTACATAGATATCGTTTTGTCTTCCTGTGAATGCTGAAAGAATTCTGTTGGATGACACCTCAGTAGATGGATGATAGCAGTGATGGTAGTAAGGTTGTCAGTACTTAGATACTGTTAGGTATCTCATGCTATGAAATGATACAGTCTTTCTTTTGGAATTGAAAAGCTACCAATGTATTTTTGCAGGAGATCATATCGTTTGATTTGAAGTTCTGGCGTCATGACAACCCTAGGTGGTAGTTACAACATCTTTCATTATAGATTGTGAGACTTAACCTAGTTAATTATTTGTTTAGTCACAGATAATGTGATACCGCTTTATATCTGTGACCAAACCCCGGACATATTCAAATTCACATAAGGTCACATAGGGAAAGTAACAAAATAATAAGTTTGTTTGTAAAAATGAAGTAAGTGTTCCATAGTGGCAGTAATTGTGTGGTTTTTATAAATAATTCATTCATTTTTTAGCTCTAGGTTTCAGTGTGCTGTCATTGGTTTCTCCCACGCGATTGCATCACCCTGAGAACAAACAGTCCAGAGTAATTTGAGCAACAAGTTCCCAGAAGTCCATTCATTATAAATGAGAGCTGCTGAGTGTTCACAGTGTTTACACAGGGAAAAAAAGTCTGACCCATCACAAGCTACAAATATCGACTATGGTCTCTCAGCATCTTTATATACAGTGCATATGATGGAAGGATGATGATGGAAGTATTTGAGACTGAAAATACTTATTAATTCATCATTCAGGGTTGCTAATCATTTTTTCTCTCAGTCAGTTTTGTTTGATTCTTATCATGTCTCTTTGGCCTGGCGCTGCATTCAGAATTCAGCTGTAGCAGCAAAGGTGTCTATTTCCAGCCCACAGTCACTACATCACAGCCACTCGTTGCATTAGAGCCAGGGCTGCAGTGCTGCCTGCTGATCGCTGACTCGGCTGGCTGCAGAGGGATGGTGTGGAATACGATCATTTCCCCTGCAGCAGCTCTCATTTTGATGACATTTCAGATTTGTTGAGTGTCATTTTCGGGGAGAGATATGAGTAAATATCATTTATACAAGATACAGTCCATTTATCTCTGTCTTAAAGGTGAGAAATGAAATGCAGTAGGCTACAATTTTAGCCTCCTTCTCGTTCAGGGAGAAGCTAACAGCTCTCTGGGAGGTTGCTGCTCCTGTGTCCATGGAGATTTGTAAATTATACGACATTAAACTCATCCTCTTTGATCGCATAACTCCAAACACACACCAGCATCCTCATCCCTTCTCTTCCCTCCTGTCTATACATCACCTTGAAGCTAAGAGCTGAGTAACATTTACAAAGTGATGATGATTCTAGGATCCTCATAATAACAACATTTTTCCAGCCATGTAATATAAGTCGTGATGTCTTCCACCATGACGGTTAATCATGAGGATTGACACTTTTTCTGTAATAAATTTAAAAAAATAAAATACCTGACAATCCGTCACATCATTAAGTTTATAGAGTAGGATTTTCTCAAAGGTGAAACGGGGCTTTTTGTTTACATAAAGGAAACTAAAGAAGTGTGTTCTTCTTAAACCAGGAAGTGATTCAAACACATCAACAGCAGCCACAGGAAAAGACAAAAGTTCAGGTGTTACCTTCATTTCTTTATAAATGTTAAATAAGAACGGACTCTAGTATTATTTGTCGGATAAATATGAAGAGCCAGCTAGCCGCTGGTTAGCTTAGCATAGCATACGGACAGACAGTTCTTGAAAACAGCAAGCCTGTCACTTTCTCAAGTTCAATAAATACATGGATTGTGTTACCTTTGATAAACTAAACAAAGCAAAGCTAATCACTTCCTGGCCCAATCCCCTTTTTACCCTTACATAGTCATAGCAGAAAGTCCCTTATTGTGTTTCCTATAATGTGGATCAATAGTTTTAATGCTTTTGACTTTATGACAAACAGCAAATCAATAACTTAGCCCATATTGATAACCAACACAAGCCCGGGGGGTAAAAATAATCATCTGAGTACACTCATGTGAATTAAAGAAATTAATCTGAGACATTATTTTGAAGGTTGGGAACTACAAACGTTCAGTGAAGCGGATTGATGATGGTCACCGGCTCTGCAATGACCTGATGAACTGCATCCAGGAGCGTGCCAAAATCGAGAAAGCCTATGCACAACAGCTGACCGAGTGGTCCAAGAGATGGAGGCAGCTGGTAGACAAAGGTGAGCTGCAATGTGTAACTCTTTAATTTAAAATTCAATATATTTTAGTGTGTGTAATTTTAAATAAAATAAATATATTTGAAATAAATTAGCAGTGTTTTTTTTTCTCGATTATTTCACTGGATTTACACTCCCATCCTTCCTCCACTAGGGCCTCAGTACGGCACCGTGGAGCGAGCATGGGTGGCAGTGATGACAGAGGCGGAGAAGGTGAGTGATCTTCACCAGGACGTGAAAAACCACCTGATCAATGAGGACTTTGAGAAGGTGAAGAACTGGCAAAAAGACTCCTACCACAAACAAATGATGGGAGGATTCAAGGAAACCAAAGAAGCGGAGGAGGGCTTCAAAAAGGCTCAGAAGCCCTGGGCCAAAAAGCTGAAAGAGGTGAGACTGTTTGCTTTGTGCAGACAAGTAGGTGAGTTTTAACACTTCCAATAAGGGATTGTTCTTATTAATGCAAAATGGTGAGCAGTTTTTGGTTTGTGAAGATACATTGTAAAGCTTCAATAGTAACAAGACATTTAATTCTGAGGGGTTTAGTTGCTGTCAACTTTCTGAATAGTTTGTATCACATAAGTACAAAATATATTCTTTCCACATCAATTTGATCACTGCACATATTTCACAAATAAACAAAAACTATCCACATAACTATAGTGGCTATGCTAAATACATTATTAGTGATTCAGGGGGGAATGACATCAGCATTTAAATAAGATTCAAATAAATGTATTTGTATGTATAAGCTTATTTCATTCTGTCTGTTTAGCTTGAGGCTGCCAAGAAATCCTTCCACATGGCCTGTAAAGAGGAGAAGCTGGCGTCCACCAGGGAGGCCAACAGTAAGGGAGAGGCCTCTTTGACGGCCGACCAGCAGAAGAAACTCCATGAGAAGGTGGACAAGTGCAAACAGGACTCACAGAAGGTGAGAGCGGCGTCTGCCAGCTCTAACAGGCCTGCAGCATAATCATTATGCAAAAGATGTTTCCACTATAAAGCCAATAAGCAAATAGACGTGTGGCCTATTTTAAGATGATTTCTTTCTGCCAAGTATCATGAAGGCATCAGTGAATACTACACCTCCATCTCCCCGTGGAGGCATGCTCTCCATACACTGCTTTGACCTGAAGCTATGATTCTTTTGTGTGTTCGAAAACACATTCATCTTCTTTCCAAGGTTAAAATGATTCACATTTCACCACAGAACTGAAAAACAGTGAAGCGAAGTCATCCCTGTATCACTGATATATTAAATATCTAAGTGTATTTTATGCTCTTAACACTGTTTCTTTGTTTGCGTGTTTAAACACAGGCTAAGGAGAAGTATGAGAAGGCTCTGGACGAGCTGAGTAAGTGCACACCTCAGTACATGGAAAGCATGGAGCAGGTGTTCGATCAGTGCCAGGATTTTGAAGAGAAGAGGCTGAGCTTCCTCAGGGAGGTGCTGCTGGATGTCAAACGCCACCTCAACCTCACTGAAGACCAAAGGTTTGAGACGTCAATAAAAAAAAACAGACCAAAGTGATTGTCTTGTCTTGTACTTGTCATTATACTTACGCTAAATCTTTGCTGTCTTTCCACAGTTATGCTACAGTGTACATAGATCTTGAACGCACTATCACGACAGCCAGCGCACAGGAAGATCTGAAGTGGTTCAGCAACACTCACGGCCCTGGCATGCATATGAGCTGGCCACAGTTTGAGGTACAGAGATACAATAACAAGCTACAATGTTGTGACCACTCTGCTTTAAATAAAGTCCAAGAATCAATAAAGGAATACGTGCACCTTTAGGGAAACAGTGACAACTTGCAGAGAATCATAGGAGGATTGATAGAAATGTCAGGACTGTGTGCTTAAGTATGAAGCTACAACCAGCAGCTGGTTAGCTTAGCATTACATTAAGCCTGAATGTAGGTAGAAACAGTTTGCCAGGTTCTTTTAAATGATTAAAATAAAATCAAAGAGCTGAAGTATCAACATGTTAAATGTAGGTCATGTTATGGGTAACAAATACTGAATGATTTGTCATTAAAGGATGTTAAAGGATGGAGTATTTCTTTTCTTCTAAAGTTGTATTTTAACGTTACATACTGAGTGATACTTGGCTATAACTGTCACTGTACAGAGCAAACAAATTCAAAATGAAATGTGTTTTTGTCTCATGATTTGCAGGAATACAACCCAGACCTCACCCACAAGATCTCAAGCAGAGAAAAGACAAAGAAAAACAGTGATGGAGTCATGCTGACTAACGTAACAACAGCAGTCGATCACGCTCAGGCTGTGGACAGAGGAAGGTAAGATTGAATACTCATCATGAGATATTGATGCTGACGCTCTCATACGGACTATCCTAATGTAAGTGTTACATGTTAATGTATGATGTTCAGCGTGAGCAGCTACGAGAAGAACCAGGCATACACAGGCTCCACAGAGTGGTCAGATGAGGACCAGACGGCCCCGAACTCAGCAGGGGACACCAACGGAGGGGCGAACCCCTTCGACGATGACGAGGGCAAAGGTGTTAGAGTGAAAGCTCTGTACGACTATGATGGTCAGGAGCAGGACGAGCTCAGCTTCAAAGCCGGTGAGTGTCTTCCATGCACTTCTCGTTCTCTCTGCAGCTCTAATGTTTTACATCATCTCCTCATCTTGTACATTTCTGTGTCCTTTCATTGATAAAGGGGATGAACTGACAAAGCTGGAGGACGAGGATGAACAGGGCTGGTGTAAAGGTCGCCTAGACAACGGTAAGCTGGGTCTTTACCCGGCCAATTACGTGGAGCAGATTTAACTGAACCAGATGAGTTCGCTTTTCTCATGAGAGGGAAAACCCAGACTGAACCGTCCAGTCACATTACTGCACATTGCCAGAGACTTGAAAGCAAAGCTCCCTCTTGTCAGGCACAGTGAGCGCTTTTCATATCAGCACTCATCACAGAGACACCAGACTTTACAGAAACAAGATCTGTTCAGGACCACATCATCTACAAACACTGAAACTGAAGCTAAATATTTAAGTCTGTTAGTGTGTAGCTGTGTTTGGTTTCAGATATGTGACGCTAACATGCCATTCAGTATGTTCTCTCACTACATTATTGGCATGGTATCATCAGTTGTGCCTGGATAGCCGGACTGAGCTATGCATTGTGCATTTCATGTATATATTTTATCTTCTTAATTTTTTTTTTTACAGTCTGGATACTTGTACAGTTTTTTTCCTCAAGTACAGTGTTGTCTTTTCTTTGTGAAATATTTACATGTTTAGCATCACAGGATCGGTCTGACATTTTGGGTTAATGTGCTTATTCACTTTTGATATGAAGGCAAAAGAGTTTTATTTTAGAGTTAGGGGACTGATTTGAACATCTGTCATATGAACAGTTAATATGAAGCTACAGCTAGGACAAGGTTAGCAAAAGAAAAGGTGAACCATCCTAGCTGTGTCTGAAGCTAACACAGTCCAAAAAGTAGATCTATTTTTATGTCCAGAGTAAGAATTGAGATAATCCTCCTGAGAGGTGCTGAAACAGACGACTATCCACCAATGTTATTAATCCCAACGCCATTGCAGCATGAAACTACAACAGCTAAACCAAAACATCAGACTTTTATGCTAAGCTACACTAACCAGCTGCTAGCTGTGGCCTCATATAAGTGTAAAAATGTGAAAAAAAAGCTCTCAGTAGGAAAGTGGATTAGCATGCTTCCTATAATGTTGAACATCATCTACATTTATTCTTGTTTTTCTGCTTCGCTTCACAGCATGTCCCTGAACAACCTGTGTCACAGCAGTGTGTGAAATTACCACAAAATTACGTATATTTGAATAAGAGGACAATTTTTCACATCGATTGGCAAAAATGTAAAACTACTCTGATCCAAGAGGGAAAATAATGGGTGTCTGCAACAAAAAAAAGCCTTTATGAAGTCAGCAGGCTAAATATTAAAAAGAAAGAAAAAGACCTCTGGGTTTGCAAAGCTCAAAGTTTTAGTGAGTTTTTTTGCTGGTTAAGAAAGAAAATTAATTCTGATTCCACTTTATGGCCTACAAAAACAAATTAGACCATCAGCATTAACATTGATTATTTCTAATAGTTATTTTTAATGACAGAAAACTTTTGCTGAGGGGGGAAGGTGTCAGACAAAGTGTTTAACTACATAGGGTTGGGGTTTTTCATTTTCCCAAGATTCCTAATGAGGGAAACATTTGACTGACTACTCAAATTAATGTACACAAATCTATAGGTTCTGATTTTGTGTACATTCTACGAAATGCCCTGAGATCAGGTTTTGATATTTGAGCATTTTAAAACAAGACCTCCGCAGAGCTTCTCTTTGAAATGGAAATATGAACTCAACAGTTTTAAGGTTGTTTACATTCACCTCCACTGTCCAAACCTGCCTCTAACAAGGTGCCTGTTATACGTTTTATCTGTCAAGTTTCTCATTCTGTTTTCGTCTTTTTGTTGCAGACTCTGTGCAGACGCCATGAACAAAACCTGCCTTTGTGTAGAGATAAGCTTCATTTCACAACCATTGATTAATTTATATAACTTTTTATTAACCTTTCTGGTGTTAATGAGACTTGCTTACTACAAGTGAATACCAGTGACTTGGCATAATCAGCTCCCAGCTCTTTCTGTGATTGTGTGCGTGCTGATGCTCCCACACTGGCTCCGATCTGAACTGATCAAGTGCATGCCCTAAATTTATCCCACCAAACTACTGGCATTTTCTTTATCAGACTTTTAAAAAAAAAAACGTATCATATTATCTGTACTATGTAACATTGACACCCATGATTGGTCTATTTTACTGTGTACCAGGCTGTATTTGATATCAGCTGAATCTTATTTTTTCGAATCAAAAAAGCTAAAGAGTGCATGTAGCGGTGCAGTTTATGTTAAATGAGATTGGTTTGTTACTCCTGACAACCGCAGGTGTTGGTGAAAACAACACCCTTTGTTGACGAGGAGGCTGGGTGTTCTCTTACTGACGCAGACAGAAAGCTGCAACGAGTGCTGCACAAGAAAGCAGAAAGAGGATCCGTCTCTGAAATATTGATGAGACTGCTGCCTTTTTCTTCTGCGAGAACAGAAGCCGATTTGTCAACTCCAGAAGGGAAATGTCACTTGTACTGTTTATGCTTCTGTATGCTTTTTAAAAACTGTTGCTCCTTGTACACACTGGATACAGAAGGGTGACATGAATATTGCCTTATAAAATCTTATCACCCTGCCGCTCTAAAGACTCTCGAAATTGAGAGAGCACGCTTCCACAGAGACCGCCATGGCGCCATCATCTCAGTTAACACTGAAACGACACACTTGCTCCCTTTAAATGAAGGGCACATACATTTAAAGACTCAACAGTCTTATAATATAAAGTGTATTTAAGGCAGAAATGGAACTGTTTCAAAAGTGTCATGTGAAAGTGTAAAGGTACAACCACTGTGAAAACTCCTGTCATACACTGAAGGACGGTGAATCATATGGAAGAAAAAAAGAAAAATCTGAAAAGCTCTTTTTAAAAAAAAAAACATTTTTGGCCTGTTGCTCCTGCTGGAAACGTTGAGCTACAATGTTGAGGAAAACTATGTGGAAGACTCGAGGGCTTTCTCTCTTTTCTTTTTAGCATAGAGCTGTACTTTCAAAACTGTAGTGCCTGTTCATCTGAATAAGCAAAAATAAAAGATGTCATCAGAAAACTTTGGTGTGCATATGCGACTCTGAGTCTGAGACAGCGCTTTATCATTTCTCTGTTCTGAAAAGTCTAAATGCAGTCATTAGCCTTTTTAGTCTAAAGTTAGAGAAGTTCAAAGTCTGACAAAAATGTTGCTACATCTTTTTTTACAATAGAAATATCTACTTAAAATGTGTATTAACCTGCAGTTAATATATAGAATATATACTGCTGTTAACAGCAACAGAGTAATTAGAGACATAGAGCCGAATCTTTTTAAGATAGCGATAGCCACAGCAAGAGACAGAGCAGCACTCCTTTTTGTAATAATCTGAACTAATTATTTGATTTTATCTTCTTACAGTCTGGCCCATTAAAGACTTGAATTAAGGATTAAGCTGCAGCTCCCATCTGACGCTCTCTCCAGGTTTAAACATTTAAAATCAATAACTTTGACTGCCACTAGGGGTCAGTAGTAAACAGATTCACCTCTGTCTGGCCGCCTCTAAAATGATGTGTCACATGAATCATCATGATGGAGTTAGAGTCTGACAAAAAAAACAAACACAATCTTTCTGTATCATTGAGTTTAATCATCACACCTGCTGCTGGTAAATTGACCCGATGCCAACAAAAACCCCACATTGCCACACAGGACTCAGTCCTCAACAGCAACATAACAATTCAGGGAACTCTTAGCCTAATAGTAGAATGATTTATATTAAAAACTTGGACATGGTTTGCTTCATGTTTAAGGCAGTTTAACTTAAAGTAGGCTCTGCACATTGCAGGTGAGGACATTTGCCAATAATGTGTCAATTTCTGAAGGGTTTCTTTCCTCTAGCAAAGAGCTCACTTGACTTAAGTGGAAGTTTACTTTGACGAGAACAAACATATTAACTGTTACAAAACAGCTATTTGCTTTTCAGAGCACATGGTTGGTTGAAGCAAATATTTCTCCATAGCGAGAACAGCTGCTTCAATAACTAAAACATATTGTGTTTGATTTATTTCTACTTGTATCATTTTACCTTCTAAAGCCCATCTGTAGTATGGTAATGAGTAGCAACTATAACCATTTTGCCTCAAATTGGGAGATTTTATTTAGAAGTTGGAACAAGTTATTATTGTATTATGTTAATCAGGTGATAATTGTTCTTAAGGCACAAAACAAACAATAGGCCTACTTGTAATCCGAAAAAAAAAAATGATTGTAATCCCGGATCGATAAATTAAGCAGCTTTTAATTGTACAACCTAAAAACACTTAATTTTGCACATTACCAGTAAAAAAAAAAAAAAAAAAGCAGACCTCTTAAAGTTTACATCATCAGAAAGAAAAAATCAAAATCAAAGTCACGAGAAAAAAAAATCACCTGATATGCTAATTTCTTTAGCTTTCAACAAAAAGACTGCAGCACTGCACAAGACTAATATCTTGTTACCATGGAAATAGTAAGAGATGGCAGACACGGAGTAGAATTAGCTAACTTTCAAATTACAGCGCCAATTTACGGTATCAATGCAGCTTGTTCAGGGTGTCCTCTTCACCCTAGTCCTCCTCATTGTGCTCATTATCCCCTCTGTTTGTTCGTGTTAGCATCCTTGATGGGAAACATCATTCACCTGTCGTTTATTTATCAACAAAAACCGGTCCAGAACCTGTTTGTAATCTTCGAAACAGCTGAACGCACGCACATCGTTTATAAGCGGTCATTTTGGATTTGTATGAACTTTTTGCCCAGGAAGTCTTTGAGTACTATGATGTTGTTTGGTTTAAAATTTGAGTCACGTCACTGCAACGTCATAACGTCCGTGAAAAATATGGTTTTCATGTTCATGAAAATATATAGATTGATTGATTGATTGATTGATAGAGAGATTGATTGAGTGATTGATTGATTGATTGATTGATTGATTGATTGATTGATTGATTGGACTCTATTGTCTGATCATCACAGAAGTCCCATTTACAACATAAAAAATACCAAGATAGATGCATTTGGCACATTTCAAACACCAAACAAATATTCAATGCCTTTCAAAGTACTTATAATCTTGGAATAAGACCCTTATTCAATTTAGAATTGACAGGTGTAGGCTACGAAACAGTGCTTTACTGTGCCCTTATTCATACGTGGGGCGGGGCAATGTTTCTCAGGTGTGATGTTAATGGTTCAAATAGAATTTGGAATATCAGTTGAGCCAATAAAATGTTAATTTACTCGGTTTACAACGGTTATCTGCAGTGTATCAGGGGTTGGTGAGGGCTTATAATGTCTATTTGAACTGCTGTAGGTAGGCTTACACATTTGTCACTGCATTGTCCCATGTGCAGATCATACAGATATCACAGAGTCGTATCCTTTCAGCAGAAGACTGACATGGTAACTCCACTTGATCCTTTTAATCCCTATTTGAAAACCTGCACTGTATATTCAGGGATAATTTAACTTCCACTTGTAAACTGAAAATCATGCTTACCTTCAAGATTTAACTGCTCAACATCGCTCAAGGCCACATTTCTTTGGCAGATATCCCCTGGCTCACTTCATAAAAAGAACAATTATGCAAATTTTAGAACCAGTTGAACTGTTGCGGGTGAGAAGAAAAGATAAAATGCTGACAATAACATAATGATGGTTGAGCTTTCCAACAACTGTTACGGTGGGTGTAGCCTACTTTGATGGCACCTGTGTTAGCCTAGAAACAAAACCAATGCATATTAACATTAATATTAACAGTTCATAGAGCCCTATTTGTCGCATTTTGTTCAAAATGAAATACATGAATTAAGTCAGTACGCAAGTCAACACAGAATGATAAAATCAGACGATAATATAGCTCTGGAATTGTTAAATCGTAACATGACGTTTGACATTTTATTTAATCTGGCTTCTTTTTTCAAAAACTGTTAATCAAGGTGATTGAATATGAGAAGTTGGAGCTTTTGTGTCGAAAGCCTATTAACTCAACATCTGTTTTTATTCATTGAGAGCATTTTTTAATAAAATACGGCCTCTTTTCATAACACAATATGTGTGTTAATGAAGACAAGTAGCTGGAGCTTGTGTTTTACTTTGCTTTTATTTTAGCTATCAAAAGCTATTATTCATGATAAATGTTACAATATTTTCTATTTGCAACAAGAGATCTGAGATAAACTTCTATTTAAGCCTTATCTGGGGAAAAAAAAGGAAACTGAATTCATACCTGCCAAAAAATAAGAGCGCTAGAAAAAAAATAATTATGAGAGTCTGCAGCCACACATGCAGCTCTGTCAGGCATTACATCACTGCACTGCTTTGAGCTAAATGTGAACATTATCATGCTCACCTTCTCATGACGATGCTATCATGATGATGTTAAGTAGGAATAAAGATGATGCGCCACATCTCACTCTAGCTTGTTAGCATTCAAACATTTGCTGTTAATCCCTCATCATAAAGTGCAGAAGATGCCAATCGGTAAAAGAAAAACTTTGTTTTTGACCAGATGATAGCACTAAATGAAACATTTTAACATCAAAGTCATCACAGTTTTACTGCATTCAGTCCAAAAGTTTCCACAAGTCGTTGATACGTTTTTAGACGTGGACTGATATTACCATCGATGGACTAACATGGCAAAAAGTTAATTTACATATTCAAAAAAGTCATGATGATATCATATAATTTGTCTTGATTTATTCACAAGATTATTTGAAATCTACTTATTTTATTACACATTGTGATTCCAAAGTAAAACATCCACGATATAAAAAGCATTATACAGCAGTATAAACCAGAGCTGACAGACAGTCTGTCTCAGCTCCTCAGCGATGAAAACAGTACAAGGGCATTCATCACTTTAGTCTGTATCTCTAAGTCAAATCTTAGAAAAGAAACAGTGAAGTGGGATAAACACAGTCCCAGCAGTGTCCGAGGCTCCTTGAGAGGTTTACACACTTGTTTCCAGAATCACAACAGTCTCGTTTGTGCCTTGAAGGTGAGATAAAAGACCTCTCTGTTCTGCTGTTGATGGGTTACAGAAACTGACTGACTGATTGTGTGTTTAACAGTCAGGACCAAACCCCAAAAAAAAGCAAAACAATTTTCACCTGTGGCAGCGAAACTGGCTCTAACTCAAACAGACTCTGGTCAAGACGAGCGAAACAAAAAGACAAAACAAACGTAGCTGAGGGCGATGGGCGTTTTCCTCAAACTCATACGTAAGAGCAATCAGTTTTTACTATTTAGTTTAATGAGTGTGGGATAATAACATCACGGCAAAATAAACAGGCAGATCAAGCAACTGAAAAGGCAGTTTGTTTATTTAATTTTTGTTCTTTTTTTTTAAGGTTGTTTTTTATATCCTGCAGTAGGATAAAGCCTCAACAGCCACGTTGTTTTGTCTCTTCCTCTCGGCCCAGATGCACAGATAAGCCTTCATGCAGCAGCTGCCAGCTGTTGCTACAGCGTTGGCAGGAGAAGTGTGTACCATTGGGTTTGGTCAGTGCGCGTGTACCATGTCACCTTCTCATCTCAGGATTAAGTGTTCAAGTGCACGGTGAGATACTGTGTCCTTTAGGTTTAGTAGGATTCGCCTCGCCTTCCTCCCACGACGCTGCCGCCTCATACTGGGTGGACAAACTGGTACACCAGTCTCTGAGACACATCAGGCTTGCGGATGATGCCTTTCTTGTAGTACTGACGTATGGAGCGGCTCAGCTTGTCATAGTTCATAGCAGGGCGATTCTTTCTGAGTCCCCACAGTCTCGCGACGTGAGCCGAGTCTTCAATTTTAAAAATACCTGGTGAGAAAGAAAGAGGTGTAAGATTAAAAACAGCATGGTGCAGAATGAAAACAACAGTAGGCGCTTTTATGTCGGGCCATGCGGCGAGCAATTGTAGTGTTCCTTATTTTTTCTCAAATACTAAACCACAGAGATTAACATCTTCTTTTTAGAAGCAGCATGGCCATATAGGCAGCACTACAGAGAAAACAGACACAATATAACTTGAAGGAGCTCTGTGGGGTTTTGAACTGCTTTAAGGAACGCTTAACAAGAGACACTGTCCTGGTGGATGCTTCATACTTAAGTTACGACTGATAGACAGTGGAAGTAAATGACCAAGAAATCTAAACATCTAATCATGGATGTAGGAATGCAGGATAGTTTCCATCCATCCATTATCTTTACTGCTTATCGCGGGGGTGCTGGAGCGATCCAAGCTGTCATTGGGCGAGAGGCGGGGTACACCCCTGGACTGTTTGCCAGTCAATCATAGGGCTGACATAATGAGACAGACAACCAGCCACACTCACACTCACGCCTACGGGCAATTCTAGAGTCAACAATTACGAGCATCTCTTTGGACTGTGGGAGGAAGCAGGAGTACCCGGAAAGGACCCACGCACGCACAGGGAGAACATGCAAACTTCACACAGAGAGGCTCCTGTCAGACGCGGAATCGAACCAGTAACCTACTCATTGTGAGTCAACAGCTCTAACCACTGCAGCCCCATGCAAAAATACAATTAAAATAAAAAGCTTTGCCACTGTTTTACAAGGAAGCAAATCAAAATGTGTTAGACCTCATGGTTACAAATCAATGCATGTAGGCAATAACTGAGTGTAAGCGTTCATCCTCATTGTAGACAAAAGAAATCAGGTCATTTTAAGAGTCGATTAATATGTGCATTCATGTTTTCTGCAGAACATTTCAACCTGGAATAGATCAAACTTCTTCTTTACTTCTTTTTGTTTTTGGGGTAATTTTGAAAAGAGGTAACCAAGTGTTATTTCCATGATTTATTCAGTAACTGTTACAATAATATAAACTTCACACCTGTGGAATGAAATGATCTGTATACGTTTTAAAAGAAGTGAAGTGTTAGAATGTAAATAATTTAAGTCTCAATTGAAGTGATTGGAGATTTGATGGTACGAGCTAATGTATTAGTTCAAGCGTAATTAGTGAAAAAAGGTTTTCGAGGAAGTGATTCAATATTCAGGATGTTGTAGTTTAACAAGTTTAATGTGCAGCTTTGAAAGCAGCTGAGACTCCAGCTCCAATGTGAGCCCTGAAAGTAAAGGTTAAGGTGCACACAGGAGAAAACTGAAGTGAGTCAAAACATCATGAAGGGAAAGCAATGATAGTAATCTCAGAGATGAAAGCAGCTGATTTGTCGATTGTAGATAAAACACTTTAATTATCTGAAGTCAGAATTTGGAAAACAGTTTTGGGGTGAAAAAACCTCAGGTCATCCCTCACTCTCTCTCTCACTTCAGCATACATGAACTCTAAATCAGTCATTAGTAAATGAAGGTACCTTTATCTTTGTTGAGCCAGCGGATGCAGCGTCCATAGTTGTGAGGTTTGAGCAGGAGTTCTCTGAGGAACTGCCACAGGTGAATGGGCTGACCTGAACAAGATGAATCTGCCTCGGACCAAAGCTCCTCAGCAACTAAACAACAACAACAACAACAACAAAAAAAAACAGTGAAGTGAATCACAGAGACAAAAAATACCTTGAACTTTATGAGACAAGGCCCTAAAGATTTCTAAACTAACTGGGAAACAGGAGACACCAGCTCGACTTTAAACTATGAACCATGAAGTTCAAATTTCAAATTATTTTTAAGCTTTTCTTTTTATTTCCAAAGGGACTTTAAAAACAACATAAACGTAACATCAACTAACATCCTGTTTGTTTAATACGGACTCTAAAAGTGTGTGAACATTCAAAAAATAAAGCAGTCATCTTGGTTGTTTACAAACGGGCCTCCACGGTCTAAATCTGCCTCAAATAAAATAATCATTAGTCCCGGCCATCAAACATGAGCTCCTACATTTGTAAGGATCCCAAACTGAGAGATAAACAACAAACGCTTAAAGCATGAAAGTCGAGTCCAATACGTTTTATAGTTTTCTTACTGCTACTTTGAGGAGTTTACAAATGTCCATAGCTGTTAGTTTTGTCTGATATTATGCAAGGTTACACTGGAAAGCAGATTACAGTGTAATGTTGAAAATAAAAAATATATAAAAAGTGAACCTACCTGTTATTTTTGTTTCTCCGACTGAGCACCTCTCTTTCATCCAGGCAGCTGGAGAAGAAAAGCATAATCAAAATCTTTCAAACATTTCTGAAACTTCTTTCTTCTCAATCAATAGAGGACTTTATTTCGCTGATAAAAGCCTAATTAGTGATTTTAGAACAGATTTGACTTGAATACTTGCATCTACTCATACTGTACAGAAACAGCATCAGAACGCTGTACACAATGTAAGTGAGTATCTGCTGACACATCATGCTGGAGCTGCAGAAGGTTATAAAGGGCATGATTGAGTAAATAAATCAAGCACACACACACCTGACTTCCATATGTCGAGGTGAGCATGCAGCGTGTCTCCGCACTGCGGCGAGCGCTGGCGAAACTCCTCCTCACTCATGGCACACAGATCCTTTCCTGTGAGGTCCTGGAAGGCCTTTCCAGCATGGGGTAACCTGTACAGGTGCTCAGTCCACAGCAGCCACTTCTGCACGTTCCCTGTGTTCCACTCCATGGGGTCTATGAAAATAAAAACAGAAAGGGGATAGTGAGAAACTACCAGCTGTACATACAGTAAGTTAGCTGGTTGAGGGTTATTCCTCTCGTGATAAATCATATAGAGTCAGGCTGAGTTGATAATCATGTAAATTATGCTTTATGCCACTACAGACCAGTAGAACAGGTGACTGCGCTAAGTTTATGACAGCTCGAGGTCTTACAATACATAATTCTGCTTGTGTTTGCTTAAAGAGCAGGAGAGACCTCGCCCATAAGACTGTGTATACACGTCTAATGTCAGGAGAGAAGCATCTCTGTCACAATCGAGGAGAACTCATGCAAAGGTTGGGATTAAATAGATCCTGGAGCAGGCAAACACGGCTCTGCGTCAGTCGGGATATGACTGAAGAGATCTGTCAGCTTCCCTGAGCTATCCACACAAATATCTGTTGAATCAATTATCCCTTTTTTTTTCTAGCAACGCATGAAAAATGTCCTGTGTACTTTAAAGATTTGAGTCTTTGTCAGATATATTTCCTACAACGGTAGCGCACCTCTTGAACCTACAGTAGCACGTGTTCAGAGGACAGAAGTAATAATTGTATCGGACAACTTTTAACTGTTACTTTACAGAACTATTTCTACTTTCTATATTCTTTTTTAATTTTCAAAGACAGTTTTGTTACTTTAGCGTTAACACCCTTTAAGGGGGATTTTGATTATTATTGATCTTGTGATATTTGGTGTCACTTCCCCAACAAGAGGGCTGACATTCAACCTCACTGGATGGCTAAAAAAAATCAACATATCAACATATCTATCATTTTTGTAACATGAATAAAATTATGCAAAAATTTAGAGTGGAAAGTCTCTCCTCGTCTAACTGATAAGCATATTTAAAGAAAAGGTTATGGTAACGATTTTCATTTCTCTTTTATTTGAAGTTAGTTACTGGGGTTGTTAATTACATCATCTTTCAGTCTGTAAAATATCTAAAAATTGTTAAAAATAAGTTCATCATTTTCCAGAGCCTTATTTGACATCTTTAAATTTTGACTCTTTATTTACCGTCTGCACATTTTAGAAGCTGAAGTCTACCTGATGCTTCAATAGAGAGGTTGAATTTGTTCTAGTCTTTTTGATCAGTGTCTGTTCTTCTACATGAGTAAATAACACAAGTACTCTGCCACCTCTTTAGGTGTGGTGGCAGGAAGCCTACCTGGGGTGATGTTGAGCAGTTTGCAGGCGGTTTCGATGTCCTTTAGCACTTCTCCCACCACCATGCTCTGCACCTGCTCCAGAGAGCGCTCCTCCTCCTGACCCTCCAGCCCGGGAGAGAGTCCCTGCTCCTGGCTGTCGATGACGGGGCACTGCTCCGGTTCATCCCGGGGCTCCATACGAGTCATGGGAACAGCCAGTGCCGGGGAGGCATCCGAGACTTTCACCACATATGTGGCGTCCTCAGTGAGGAGCATGTCAAAGCAGGAGAGGTAGAGGCCCGGCACGCTGGGTTTGGTCTCCTCCAGGTCCCAGGGTTCACTGGAGCCTCTGTTTCGCTCCAGGATGGCGAGGGAGTCCTCTGTTATCCCAATCCTGGACCCGTACACAGTGGCCTCTGATAAACTGCCCACTGGGTTTGACATAACTGCAAACTGGGGACAAAATAATTGCCAACAAGTGTCAGATTTCTAACTGTTACTTATACATGAGCATAAAGAAAAGACATGCAAGCGTATAATAGTTACTTTCAGCATTGCAAATTAAGGAAAGATCATCATTTTGTCTTTTCTATTCTAAATCTAAAAGAATCAGCAGAGCAGCTTGGGACATAAGAATTCATAATTACGTTAGCAGTCAATAAAAGTTCAAAAACTATCCTGTGAAAAAAACATTTTGAAAAATGTCACCAGCTTGAATTTAAGAAGTGTTATAAATACCTCCCCTAATTGTTCCTTTACTGTAATTGTCCAGCTGCTAAACAAGATTGAGATATTGTTTAGTAAAACCCTCCATCAGAGGAGCTCTGTGAAGGAATCCGTCTTTGTAACATGGTTTGAGGAGAACTGAGGTGAGTTCTGCTTGATGCTCTATAAGAACCCTAATGGAGACACTGAGGGGAATGACCCTCATGAGAGTTAAAACACACACAGCGCTGATGGGCATGGGGCAAAATGGATTTGACTGAGTCTCTTATGTGTGGGTCAGTGGCCCAGAATAGCTGATGTGTTGGGGGTAGGTGACTCTTATTGAGGCCTGTAGCAGCTCTGCCGCCTGCCTCAGCTTTCAAGGTGCCGTCTGTCTCCACTGTCAGCTGGAGATTTTAATCAAGTTAGATAATGTGGGCAAGAGCGTGCACCGAAATCATGCACGAAACAACCCAGGAGTCTGTTTTATAAAGACGACACTGATAGCTTTTCAGGAAATTGCCGTCATAAGTGTTGCTTTATGGACCTCAGCTGTAGAGCAAGTGTTGCAATGTCAGGGTGAAGTCGCATATGGCAGCCATAATGTGTACCTGCCACAGCTGGCTTATGGGAAGGCACACTGCTGTCACACACCAGGTTATCAGCGGCTAAAGGAAGTGTGCTTCCACACAGCACATGTCCGTAAGTAAAGGCACGGCTTTATTTGTCAAGACGCCCAGAAATTAAAAAGTGATAAAACATTTCCCAATGATTGACTTTATCCTTCAGCCCAAGTCATTTAAGAGGGTAAAATATCAAATAAGTCCAGCTAGGTTTAAAATAGCTGATGAGAAATAAAATGATACTTTTATATGCTTTTTTTTTTTTTTTTTTTTTTTGCATCTGAGCATTTGTTTTCTCACAAAGGAGATTTTGTTTACGATGCAATTTGATTGACATGTCGCTTGTAGGATTCGGGAGAAGCTACTTGTAGGTACAGCACAGACCAGGAGAGAAACATAAAATGACTGGAGAGGATCTTCATTATTTGTGAACAAGCCGTCAAATTCAAGGTGCAAGCACTACCTTTAGTTAATTTCCAGGTATGGTTCTCTTATTGGTCTTAAAATTTGAAAGGCTCAGTCAGTAGAGCAGGCGCTCAGTGCACAGAGACAAAGTCCTCGATGCATCGAGTTGCCTTGGACCCTTTGGTGCATTTCAGTTTTCCAGTCTCTATTCAGCTGTCTGTACTGGCAAAAGGCTAAAACATATATATTTGCACAAGATGTTTTCTGGTTTAAACAGCCAAAACCATACCTGAATATTTACTTTAGGTAGTGCTTGCAAATTGGAATATCTAGAGAAGACCCGACTAATGTCCTTGGTTGAGCTTTTACTTTGTGACTATCCATCAGGCTTTTAATTTCCATTATTGACCTCTTGAAAACCCAATTTTAAGCATAAACAATCTCTCACAAAGCTTAGAACTAACCTTTCCTATGATGTTTTCTTTGTTGTTTAAGTTTTTGTTACTTAAAAACCACCTTATAAATACTTTTTTTTAATAAAACTTAATATTAAATGAAGTTATCTTCCACTGCCTCCTAAAAAAAAAGATTCCCCTTCTACTCTTTGGTCCTCTACCCCCCACTGTAAAACCTCCTCCCCAGTTTCCTTTTATCTCCAAATTTCTGGTAAGCTATAACCCACACTCCCTTTCACTCCATCAGGAGTCAGATTAAAAGCCGCTGGTATCCCAGCCTGGCTGCTGCGTGTCAACTCTGCTCTGCAACAGCTTGCGCTAAGCCCATTAGCAAAGCAAATTTAGCCATATTACCTTCTTCCAAAAGGAAGAGGGGGCACAAGGAAAAGACACAAACACACTCCCCTGGGGAGAGGGATTAAGACCCTGACTGATCTCTAAATGAGTTTGGTCAAGACGCTGATATTCATTTCAGGAGCATTAAAGCTTGCTCCATTTACTCGGCAAAGTCAGCCTTTGACATCGACGGGAAGAGACTCCCTCCATGCAGGCGTCCACCCTGGGAACCACATTTCTTCTACATGCCTGTTCTCTTTTAACTTGAAGAAGGTGATTCTTTGAGGGGAGGTTTGTAACATTACCATGAATTTATATCAATGTAGCCGTGTTATTTGAATAATGGGGATGATAGGGGAGGGGTTGCATTTATATTTAGAAAGTGACTTAAACATTCAATCAACTATTGAAGAAGTTGCTGATTATGTTTTTCTTTTGATTGACTAATTCATGAATCGTCTAACTGTTATAGCTTTACAGGTAGTTTAAGAAGTTTCCTTAGGGTTATAGTTTACTTGTATTAATTCACACCAGAATCAAATGTTGTCCTTTAAATGCATATTTTACTTCTCTGATTTTCAGTGGCTTTTTGATGTGCTTTCAACTACCTGCTTTCACATAAAAGCTGAAAAAAAAAAGTTTTTTAAATGAAGTAAAATAGTGTATTATTCCCAAACTCTTCCTGAAATAAGAGAGGTAAAAGTTGTGGGCCAGTTTAGACAATCTAGCTTGAAATTAACTTGTTAGCCCATTCATCATTGTTGCCGAAACAACGAAGTGACAGACGTGTTTAGATTAAAGTTAATGAGTATAGATTAAAGTCTGCTCTCTCAGCAGAGTGTTTAACCTGGACGACTCAGTCTGAGCTGAAAAAGAAAAGAAAAAAAAAGGTCATCAGTGAGGTTTTTCGAGAAGTGTCTCAAATGTTCACCACGGTGCTCGGCTCTGTGCTGTTTGCGTGTGGAGTTAGAGGAGTGTGTACAGCCAGGCGTGACTGTTTGCCATGTGAGCGTCAAAGGGAGATTTCGTTTTTTTCCCCCCTTGTTATTATTTCTCATGGGAAACCTGGATCAAATAAGGAAGTCTTTGTTCTGAGGACAAGGAAAAAAATAAGTTTCATGTTTGTGTGGAGCTCTCTGCCTAATATTGCTGAGGGTCTGTGTATATTTGTCCTGGCTTCATGGCAACAGTGACATGTGCAGGTGTTATAAACTAGGTGCTACACTTTGTCTAGTTTTAAGTGGAACGTTTATGAAATGCAAATAAAAGGTTGATTTTCCTGTGCACTTATTGTTGTTTACAGTGTAAGTACTTCACAGACCCCACCTTCCTATTTCCTGTCTGAAACACATTACTTGTAATTATACCCATCTTCTATTCCTGGATGGTAATAACTGCCATTATTGGTGCACTCGATGATTTGTATCGGCTTTTAGTCAGGTGCGCTGGCATTCGGCCAGTATCCAACAAAAGAAACATTCAAACGCTTTGGTCTTGGTCCAAATACATTTTCGATGGAGGGCTGTATTTGCAGTTAATGATGCAAATGATACACGTCACCCATACTGAGATTGAACCTGCAGGTTGGAGGTGTTGCACGGACGGCTGGAGAGAGGAACCTGTCACCTGTTTGTGCAGACAAATCGCAGCAATGTCTGCGATACAGGGACTGTGAGGCCTGAGGCATGAGCTGCTGCAGCTGGATGAGAGGTGCTGATTGTCAGAAGATAAGAGAAAGCAGGTTTTTTAATAGTTGTCAAAGTTTTGGTAAAAATTGGAATAGTCAGCACCTGCTTTAGGGGATGATTTCTTTTTTCTCTGACAGGAGAAGTGTTTCCCATCCATGTTTTTTTGCACAGTTATAATGAATACAAAATGTACAAACAGGTTGGAAACTGATCGTTTGAAAAAGTTTTAGTACGTCAAAAAAAAAGGTTCCTCTTTAGTGGAAGAGTCAGTCTATCTATTAAAGCGAAATGTGCAATGTTTTCTAACATTCATTCAAGTCTGTTCAGTTGCTTTTCTGTATCCTTCCAACATCTCCATTTTTAAAAGATGTCGCCTCTTGCTCAGTGTGGCCTTTAGGTTGAGCTATAAATACTTTAAGTATCCATCATGATCGGAAAGCAGCTCCTAAAAACTATTCTGACTTAGAAAATGCATCTGTGAAATATTGATTTCTGAAACAATAGCTTCTCTTTAAGATCATACTAATATTCATCATTATTAAAATAATACATCCGATGTATAAAGAGCGTTTCAAGAACTCAAAGACACTGTGGAGTAGTAAAAAAAAATAGAACGATCAGAACATCATTGTAAGAACAAACTAAAAAACATTGTGACATTACACACAGGTCATATAGACGACATCACAATCCTACATTAAAAGCTCTTTTGAAAAGGTGAGTCTTGAGTAATGATTTGAATGTGGATGGGTCAGTGCAGTGTTGAATATGTGTCGGGCTGAGCTCCAGAGGGAGGGGGCTGCTATGGAGAAAGCTCTGTCCCCCCAGGTCAACAGTAGAAAATGTTTCCAGGGTGCAGTATGGGGAGGGTCTTACCTTTAAAAAGTTATACGTAGGATCATTCCAAATCCATTTTTTTATATGTATAACAGAGTCATGAATAACAGAAACTCCTAGCATTGTACCTTAAGTTAAACTTACTCTTATCAGTCTTATCTTTCTTAATTGTTGCCACATTTCATTTTCACCTCCGATCAAACTCATCATTCAATCCCTTATCTTCTCCTGGACAGCAGGGAGAACATTACTTTGAATATGTGTGTCAGCTTATTGTTGTGGTTTTTTTTCTTTCTCTTTTTTGGCAGTAAACCACCAACAACCCCCCCAGACTTTGTTTATCTCACCACATTGTGTTCCCTATCTCCATGTTGTGTGACAGAAATGCCCAACTGAAAAAATAAACCGCGAAGAAAATAATATAGAAAGCAATAAAAAGAAAATGTCAGTCAATAAGATAAGAGCTTTTTTTTTAACCATCTCCACTTATACCCTGCACCTCTGACACGTTCCTACTTCTTCGAGAGTCTTTTTACAGATTCCTTCAGGAATGATTTTCTAAAAACAAAATAACTTAATTTAATTATTTATGATGCTTCTGGTGTCTAGTAATCATTTTACTAGTTAAGATTTAGCTGTTGCAATGACATAGCAAAAGAAAAATGCTTATCCAAAACCAGGATATGGATAATATATTTACTACCAATCAAAACCTTCAGTAAAAAAAGAAAAAAAACACTTAATTTCTCTCTGGTTTCTAAACCAGATAAAATACACAGAATATTCCTTTCTTCCACTGATATATACATGATGACATAACCAATTTCTATGACAGGTGCAACTGCAAAATTTCACAATAATATGCACTTGTGAAAAGTGGACACTTTTTTGCATGCAACTCCTGCTTCATAAACGCAAATGTTATTCTGTGAGCAGGCAACTCTGTATTCTTCAACACAGCACACATTTAGGTCATTGTGTATCATTAGTGTCTTCTTACCGAGGCAAAGATGCTCTGATGGCTGGAGGCAAAGACTCGTCAGGATGGGAGATGATTCAGTGCCGCTCTGGTTCTGTTGAGGATGAAGGACTTTCCCCAGCTGCAGACCCCCCCACACTCAGCTCACTCAGGAGAACCCGGTGCTACCTGAGGACAGAGGTGCAGCAGACAGCAGGAACCCTTCAATGTGCTTCTCCCCTGATGTGTGTGGCAGAGCCCCCAGTCCGAGGCCTCTGACCCTCCCAGCCTCTTGGCTACAATTACACTTAACCTGAAAGTCACAGCCTAAAGCACAACTGCAAACTAAAGCTGAAGAGAAAGCACCTGCTGGGGGTGTGTACAGAGAGAGAAGGAGCAAGGGAGAGAGTGCAAAGGAATTCCTGCACCATTGAATGCAATTTATATTTATAGGGCAGTCATGTTTACTTATGCACACAGTCTTGTGTGCGCGTGCGTGCGTGTGTGGGTGTGTGGGTGTGTGTGTGTGTGTGTGTGTGTGTGTGTGTGTGTGTGTGTGTGTGTGTGTGTGTGTGTGTGTGTGTGTGTGTGTGTGTGGGTGTGTGTGTGTCTGAAGTGCCATGTGTCTTACAGATTAGCTCAGACCTCTTCAAACACTACTAGTTGACCTCAGAGCTCTATAGGTGACAGACTTACAGACAATTTAAAGTGATAAGAGACTAAAGAATATAAAGTGTTGCTTTGAAAAAAAAAAGAATTGAAAGTGACTGTTGCACTGCAGTAGCCAAGTTTACATTTAATGATGTCAGCTATTTAGTACAAATATGAAGAAGTTGATACTTGCATTCCTACTTTTGCTCTTTACTACTTTCACTCCTGTAAGTCACTTTCACATCATTTCGACTTACTCCTTAGATAAGAAGGCCTGTTTATTTTTGTAAATACAATTCAGTTAAGATTCAAGCACTGACTACCAACATTTTTGCCATGAGAGTCGTTAAATACATATATGATGACATAAATAGCTTGTTCCTTCACTCTTGAGCTACAAGTCCTTTCAAAAGTTCTTGAAACTTCTAGTCACATGAGCTCCGTTTTACAATAACTTAAAGGTTCCTCCAGACACCTGTTTGTCTGTAATTATTGTGGTTCAAGTACTTGTGAAGATAAGGCAAATGATTTGACCTCACCTGTTCCTCATTTGTTCTGAATCAATTACAGTACATATTATCTCAACAGCATAACGGTGTTTCAGCATAAAAACATTATCTTATTTCATCACATGCACTCTCCCCTGCTTTGAACTTTAGGATTACTAGTAGACATTATCTGTGAAATCTATATCCGCTGCTTCCTGAGAGTGTTGCAAAGAGTGTTCGGGGGGGGGGAGTGTGTGTTCTTTATTATTAATCATGTCAAGACCCGTCTGTCTTATATGGTGAGGCCCCAAACCCCTGGTTGGTTACCACATTACCAACTTAAGTTTAAATAAAGTAATTTAACCAGCAGTTCATTCAAAAAACAAAAAACAAAAATGTAAATATTTATCTGCACTTTATTTAACATTTCATACTTTCTGTACATTTTGCTATACTTCTCATTATTTTTTTTAAAGATTTATTTTGGGCTTTTTGTGCCTTTAATACAGAGGGAGGACAGTGGATAGAGTTGGAAACCAGGGAGAGAGAACGGGGAATGACATGCGGAAAGGGGCCATGGGTGGAAGTGAACCCAGGCCCACCGTTTGAGACGAGGGTCTCAGTACATGGGACGCGCGCCCTAACCATTGCGCCACCAGTGCGCCCCACTTCTCATTATTTTTTAATGTAAATGTTTTTTCATTTGTTACTAATCCTCCCCATGATTGCCTGAATTTCTTTCAATGTCCTGCATTCACATTCATGAGGCAGACTCAGGTGACCTGCAGCTCCAAGAAGAAAACAAAAAATTGGCAGGAGATTGTGCTCAGACAATATTAAATAATGATATCGTAATAGATAAACATGAATCAATCCTCACGAGATAAATTACTATTTGATTTGAAACAATGCTGGGAGGAAAAGTGGCTCTTCTCGTTCTGTAAATATCATCTGCTGATGAAGTGCTGCTAGAAGTGTTCAGTCCTAAAGAGAGTCCTAGGGTCTAAGTAAGCGCTGCACGATTTGGTAATGATTGCGATTATAGTGAGCGACTGTGATATGATACATGGTTCAATGGGTCTTCTTTCTTTGGATGTCGAGGAATATGCAGTCTGAGGTGTTGATACAAATTGGTCATGTTGCAACTCAAAGTAGCGACTTTAGCTTTGCAACCTTTGCACAGCTCTTCTCGACCTCGATTGCTCTAGTAGCAATGCTGCTAGTCAGCATACATGTCGCTCGCTATGCTCGATGGATAGTCATGTGACAATACGAACATGCTACATGCACACACACACACGGTCAGAGCAGATAATGGGCTAAACCAAACAGACTCCAAACAACCAATCGGGGAGATGTTGTTACCAGGGTCCGGCATTAACGTTATGACTCACTGGCCAAGGTGGCGAGTAGATTAAAAAACTCACCGGCCGGGCATATTTTTGCCGATGGCCCTCTGGAATTTACTCAAACAGAAAATGTACCCACCCCTGCACATTTACAGACACACCGGCACATTTATTTTAGTAGCAAATCGCAGCTTTTATGCAGTTAAGTAATTTCAAATTCTCACATCGGGATTTATATTGCAATTAGATAAATGTGCAACACGAGTCGTCTAACTTAAGTAAACCAACAACCAACGAGTTGTAATAAAAATGTACTTAAAGCATCCAAGCTCATACGCAGAACGTACCATTGAACGATTATTCTTAAAGCTTTGAGCTTAATTTTCCTCTTTTTTTTTAATCCCTTTATTTAACATCAGTTACATTTGTTAAACTATTTCTGTTTTGTAGACAGAGATGAAGTTTGATGACAAAAAAAAGGATATCACATTCATTGGATTTGCCCAAGATTTCTGCCTGTTAAAAGGGAGTTTTTTCTTGCCACTGTAACTTTTGCGAAAGTGCTACACTCATGAAGGATTGAGCTGGGTCTTTGTAAAATAACAATTAGTAAGGTCCTTTACCTGCTCTTTTGTAAAGTCTCGACATAACACTTGATATGAATTGGCGCTACAAGTAAAGATTGATTGATTGATTGATTGATTGATTGATTGATTGAAGATATTTTATATAGGGAGGTAACTTTCTGGGAGCACTATCATACAAGAGTAACAGTAAAAATATCTGCATGGGTGTGCCCTGCTTGTAATAATATGAGTGATGTAGGTGGAGATGGTGCTGACTGCTCTCTGTACAGTTAGGTACTTCAAAACAATCAACCCCCTCCAAAATAGTTTTTGTTTAAGGGAAAGAAGGATCAAATTGAGTTTTTGAAGTAAAACAAAAGTTCACGATTTTTTGAACTCCTCACCAATAAAAAAAGGTCAAAGCGTGTAGGCATGCAGCTCTAGTTTAAGAGTTTATTGTCAGGTTTTTTTTCTTACATTTATTCAAAGACAGCCACATTTAGTACTGTTTTTTATTTTTTTTTTTTACTTTTTAATGTTTGTATAGGAAGCATATATCATCATAGTATCAGAAGAGTTCAGGATAACTTTTGTCAGCTTCATTTATTTGGTGATGTATCGTTTAGGATCAGCTATGCTACAGGTGCTAGCTAAGCTGCTTTCTATGGCTAACATCGACAGAGATAAAAAAAAAACAAGAGTAAACAAAAATGTATTTGTTTAGACTTCTCACCATTCATTTACTATTTGGAAATACGAAGAACACCTATACTGCATGTTTATCATGATCTTATTTTAAGCATGACATACAGGATCATAAAATGACAGTGACAGTCAGCCTCAGCACCTCAGGTTCCCGGCAGCAAACACACAACTTCCTTTCAGTAACATGGGTTCTTTCACTGCCAACAATAACAATGGTCAAACACAAGCACAGAGGAGATCTCTATCACTGCACTAGGCTTTTAAATATTGACTTTAATATGGACATACAATCTTTCATCATCACCACATCTCAGCTCTGAAACTCTATCTGTGTAAAGCTATTGTTTAATTAAAAATGCTACATAAATAGCAGCTGCCTTGAGTAAATATTCTGTCTGAACACGATGTCACTTTCAAAGGCACAGCCTCCATGCACCCCTGTAGTCCTCAAGGCGACGGCTTGGGTTCGAATCCGACCAGTGGCTCTTTTCCTGCACATCATCATCCCGTTCTCTCGCTCCACAATTGGCTGCCCTGTCCCTGAAAAGACCTTTAATCTAGCTTTCTGATTACCATCTTGGAGTTACTAATAGGCCATTTTTTTCACTTTTACTGACTTATTTCCTCTAATACAGACATAATACAGAGAAATTGTGTTTATAATTTTTGACACGCAGCCTGAAGGTAGACTTGTGCAAACCCATTAGTGCTTGATGACATTTCAACACTGTGCCTTATAATTAAAAGGTCATGAACCTCAATATGTGATTTCTCTGCGATAAATTGAAATCATTACAGATTTCTTGGAAGAAAAAAGACTGTTTGCTTTTGGCTTTTCCTGCATCCAGTTCGTCGACAAAATTTGCATGGCAGTTTCTTAAGCTAGTGTTTGACCTTTACTTTGGCTCAAGACCTACATTTTCATGGTCGAGAGACAATGAGCTAAAAGACGCAACAGACTGGGCGTTGAATTCGAAGCCACAATGGTTCAGTGTGATCTTAAAATGAGTAATGGTTGTGCAGGTGTCTCTAGTGTAAACAGGTGTCAATGACCCACCTGAGTTATTTTAGCAAAGTCAATAAAAATCAATCGTTGTTATGGGATTAAGAATATTAATGTGGAGTTTCTCATCTGCTCTAACTTTGGTTTTGACAGCTCGTCAAACTGTTTTTTAGGGATAATTGGAAAGAAGAAAATAGCTTGAAAAAAGTCCTGCTAGTGGATCGGAAACATTTAAGGACTACAGTTATAAATGCAACGATAAAAATGTCAATAGTCCAATTATATGACTTCCTCTTGAACACAGAGATTTTAATAGATAGAGATCATGTATTTATTTATTTTAAACAACAGTTTGGTGATAGTTTGACGTCAATTTCCTGATAATCTGCTTCAACAGCCAGGAAGAATGCCAAGATATTACACGGCTTGTAAAACTGTTAACGCTACAGAGACATGCCTGATCCTGCAGATGTACAAAATCCAACGGGTATGAGGTCAAAAGATCAGCGTTATGTAATAAAAGAGAAATGTAGTTCAGTGTGTGAAAGCGTGTGGAAGCGTGTTCACTGGTGCATGCACAAAGCTTTTATTCATATCCTTATCAAATATCAGTAAGCTGGGGAAAAAAATAGATGAATGGAGCTGATGTTT